AGTGAATAACATTTCCTTTAAAAATTAACTTTTTCTTCTTCTTTAATCTTTTCCTCGCATTTTTCAAATCCAGATTTGCCTCTCATTTGTGTCACATTTGGCACACATTTCAATCAATCAATGCTTATATGCGTTAATAAATAAGAAAAACAGTTCAATAAAGTTATGCAAATACTCGAGCCTTGAGTTTGAGATTATAAAGAAGTTTTTAATAACTCTTTCATTGCATTCAACGCTAATATGATTTCAAAATATACTTTTCATTGAAAAGGCGTTCAAATGAAAAGTTTTGCTCAAAAATAGGAAAAATATTAGAAATAAAAAGTTGTAAAAAGTTTTTTACGTAAAAATGATTGAATAGATGTCAGTAAAAATGGTCACAAAAAATACTAAAATTTTCCATTATATCATTTACGTTCCCTAAATGTAGTCAATTATGCGCCCCCTTTGCCCCCCATTCGCGGGCTATCACTCAGTATTGCCTTTACTTTTACTTATATTCAAAACCAAACGTTATTTGTTTCCAACCGGAAAATACAAACATTATATAACTGTTCAGAAACAACGTTACAATATTTAGGGGGAAGTTATTGGTGACAAATGTGAAGTTCATTCGCATAGAAAACACATATAAAACTGATTAGAAAAGGGGAGCGAAGGGTACAGAAAAAATGCTTGCATTGATTAGCGTTGATGTGATGTACGGACGGGTCGTTTGTTTTATGTCAAGTCATGCCTCGTATTGACTGAATTGAGTGAAGTCTTCAGCGATTGAACACATTCTGGCATTTCATCCAAAATGGCGACCGCTATGTGTGTCGATGGAAGCGATGGCTTCGATATCCAGAAGAATAAGTCAAAGAACAACAAATTCGCTGTCAATCACAACCAATTGAGTGAGTCTTTCGTCATTTGACGCAATTGTGTCCCAATTATGGACTAAACCTCTCTCTTTGTCTCCCAAATGCGATGCTATTCCTCACCGGCTTTCGATGTTGTGGTCACTGAAGACAATGGAAATGAAAATCAGATGGAAGACGAAGAGTCGGTCCGCGCGAAGGAGACTAATATCATACAAACGGGTCTTGAGATGAGTCGCAACGGAAAGGCCAACGGTTTGTGTCCACTATTTTTGTTGTCGACGTATTGGTCGGTTGTTTTGCCGTAAAATTATTAACGCTTTTGTTTCGATGTGTTGTGTCCAGAGTTGGCTGATCTGATCCGATCCGTGCGTCCATTTCTGAACCGTATATCGAAGGCAAAGGCGGCAAAACTGGTGCGACAATTGGTGGACCTGTTCCTCGACATGGAGAAGAAGACGGGACATGAGGTGAAACTGTGCGAAGAGTGCATCGATTGGGCCAAACAGGAGAAGCGCACGTTTCTGCGCCAATCACTGGAGGCCCGACTCATAGCCCTGTATTACGACACTCAACAGTACGACTCGGCCCTCGCGTTGGGCGCGCAGCTGTTGAAAGAGCTCAAGAAGATGGACGACAAGAACCTGTTGGTTGAGGTGCAGCTCTTGGAGTCGAAGACGTACCACGCGCTGAGCAATTTGCCCCGCGCTAGGGCTGCCCTCACGAGCGCCCGCACCACTGCCAACGCCATCTACTGTCCGCCCAAAATGCAAGCGGCGCTCGACCTCCAGTCCGGTATTCTTCACGCGGCCGATGAGCGCGACTTCAAGACCGCCTTCTCTTACTATTACGAGGCCTTCGAGGGATACGATTCCGTGGACTGTCCGAAGGCTGTCATTGCTCTCAAATACATGTTACTCTCGAAGATTATGCTTAATTTGTATGCATTTATACATTGTTTTCTCTTTTTCTCTATTTTTTGTTGTTTTCAAAGACAATCATCTTATGATTGAGTATAGCTTTTAGGCCCCGAAGAATGCGTTTTTGTTTTTATCGCATTTTAGTCATAAGTTTCTGTAATTTGACTTTTATTTATTTTTATCCCATTCTGTCATTCTTTGGGTGAAATCACGAAACTCTTTACCACTTTTGGCTCATTTCACACATATTTTCTATTTATAGTCTAAAAGTTATTACTATTTGGTGTGAAATGTGTTGATTCTAACAAATTATTATTTTTGATGTCAATGTTTCTGTGGATCCGCTGATTAACGCAATGATTTGTTTGTGGGTCTTAGGGCTGAAGACGTGCAGTCGATAACAATGGGTAAACTGGCGCTGAAACACGCCGGCAGAGACATCGAAGCGCTCAAAGCGATCGCCAACTCGAGCCACAAGAGGTCTTTGGCCGACTTCCATTACTATTACGAGGCCTTCGAGGGATACGATTCCGTGGACTGTCCGAAGGCTGTCATTGCTCTCAAATACATGTTACTCTCGAAGATTATGCTTAATTTGTATGCATTTATACATTGTTTTCTCTTTATTTTTTGTTGTTTTCAAAGACAATCATCTTATGATTGAGTATAGCTTTTAGGCCCCGAAGAATGCGTTTTTGTTTTTCTCGCATTTCAGTCATAAGTTTCTGTAATATGATTTTTATTTGTTTTTATCCCATTCTGTCATTCTTTGGGTGAAATCACGAAACCCTTTACCACTTTTGGCTCATTTCACACATATTTTCTATTTATAGTCTAAAAGTTATTACTATTTGGTGTGAAATGTGTTGATTCTAACAAATTATTAGTTTTGATGTTAATGTTTGTGTGGATCCGCTGATTAACGCAATGATTTGTTTGTCGGTCTTAGGGCTGAAGACGTGCAGTCGATAACAATGGGTAAACTGGCGCTGAAACACGCCGGCAGAGACATCGAAGCGCTCAAAGCGATCGCCAACTCGAGCCACAAGAGGTCTTTGGCCGACTTCCAGGAGGCGCTCACGACATACAAAGTGGAGTTAGTGGACGATCCCATCATAAACGCCCACTTGAAGGCATTGTATGACAATATGTTGGAGCAGAACCTGTGCCGCATTATTGAGCCCTACTCTCGAGTACAGGTACTGTCATTGCAGTCACGACACACACGTCATTGGCGTGTAATCCTAGTTATAATTATAACTGATTTTGTGGTGTAATGTACGGATAGGTGGCCCACATCTCCGGTCTCATCAAATTGCCCGTAGATATGGTGGAGAAGAAGTTGTCGCAAATGATTTTGGACAAGAAGTTCAGCGGCATCTTAGACCAGGGCGAGGGTGTGCTCATCATCTTCGAGGACATCGCCTCAGACAAGACATACGAGTCGGCGTTAGAGACGCTCCAAAACATGGGCAAAGTTGTCGACTCTCTCTACCAAAAGGCCAAGAAGTTGTCGTAGTTTTTATCAATGAAACTGATTATTTAATTTGTATTTTATGTTTATTTTTCATTCAAAACAATTGTTTATTATTATTAACATCTTTTGGAAAAAGCAAATTAAAAATTTTCTAACAAATTATTAAAAGTAAATAATATTTTAGTAATTCATTTAATTATTTTGATTGTGATATAAATGTAATGAATGTTTTCATAATTGTGTTCTCAAACTTACCTCTAAAGCCATTGGTTTTTTGTAAATGAATTAATTGTTTTGATAATGAAATGGTTGACAGATTTTTTGCAATATATTTGGAAATGAGTGCCGAAAGAAGAGTATGTTTTTTAATAAAAACTATTTTATTGATCACTCGATTGGAAACAAACTTACAATTAATAGTATTTCGCATCGAATTTATATTTTTACAAATAATTTAATTGGTTTTTGTGTTGAAAGCCATGAATATATAAGTAGTTATTACATAATCATAATATGATATAAACTAGAGTTTGAATAAAAGTTTTATTTATATTTAATTTATTTTCACAAATGAATTTGTTCTAAACGTGTTTAGATTTACTCGGATTTTATAT